TATTCTATTCTATTCTATTCTATTCTATTCTATTCTATTCTATTCTATTCTATTCTATTCTATTCAAAGCATTATATTATCTTGTAATTATAAAATTGTTATGGAATATATTAACTTTTTATTTAGATTTTGTTTTACCTATGAGTTTTGGACATTATACCAGACAATCTAAATTTTATATACATTTTAATTTTCAACATTTCAACTTTTAATTGTTCATTTTTTACAATACACTAATTTTTTTTACTTGATCATACGGCCGCATTGTTGTTTCTACCAAACTTGTAAAACATGTCGCCCTGTTAACCTGAGGTTGCTGCTTTCTATAGGAAGTTTAATTTTCGATGGCAAGTGAACGCAGCAAAGGAGGCAGAGCGGGACTGGACTGCACGAGCGCCCTCCTCCTCCTCCCCCACTCTTCTGTCCTCCCTCACGCGCCTCGCCGCGCGTGTGCCCGCCGGCAGGGCGCGCGCACGGTGAGGTGGTGAGGGGGGTTGTGCTCGCTCCTGCTCCTTTCTCTGCTCTCTGACCCCAGTGGCAGCTCCGATTCACTGCACTCCGGCTCCCCCTCCGACAGACCGAGGYTGCTCCCTCTCTCCCCCGCTTGTCTGTCAGTGTCTCTCGCCCTGCTCCCCTGGCTCCCTGCCGCTCGCTCTCCTCCTCCACCTCCTTGTCTGGTTTTTCTTTCCACAGGAGCCAGCCGAGAGGTCCCGCCGGGTCGAAGGTTCTGCCCTGCCCGCGCAGATTACCGCAACACAGGTTTCCCTACCTTGCATACATAACAGCCTTTGAAACATGGTGCACCAACAGCCAATTAGAAATTAATATGGTAAAAACAAAGGAGGTATTTTTTTGTAAAAAGCAGGGTTTGACACCAGAGCCTGTTTCACTTAATGGACAAGCTGTTGAAATTGTGGAGTCTTTTAAATATTTAGGAACAGTTTTTGATGGCCATCTGAGCTTCACAGAAAATTCAGAAGTTATCTTTAAGAAATTCTCACAACGACTTTACCTTCTTAGAAGACTGAGCTGTCTGGATGTCAATGCACAGATTGAACATTGACCTTGTGTATAGCACTCAGTGTCTTAACATTTCACCCCTCTGCATGATCTGGCTACCTGAACTGCAAATGCAGAAACAAATTAAATACAATTGTGACAATGCCAAGTAAAATATTGGGAAAACCTTTAACGTTTGTGATCCACCTTCATACTGACAGCCTGGACAAGGTGGAAAGCTAAGAAAATTACTGCAGATAGTTCACACCCTCTTTTTAGTCAATTTGAGCCTTTGAAGTCTGGGAGATGATTTAGAGTTCCCCTGGCAAAAAGTATTTTTAAAAATCCTTTGTCCCAAGTGCCATCACTATTCTAAAACAAACTAAGCGATAGCCTGTGTATCTGACTGAGATGTTGGGAGTGGAGGTATTTTAAATCTCATATTTTAATTCTTTTTTATAAATGTTTTTCTATGAACTTGTTTTATGAATTTTTATAGTTTTTTTTTAGAGTTGTGCTTGATGTGCTGTTTTGTATATTTTAGTAAAATACATGTCTAATGAGCCAAAGACAAATTTCCACTATGGTG